CCTTCCGATCCCAATGCGATAAGTACGCATGCGAGTACCGCAGGAGAGATGACATGTATGGTGTTAATTCAACATAATCCTGTCGGGTCAATTGACCACTATCAACCAAGCTAATTATGGGAGACGTAGAAGCAAGTATATCGGTAATGGTAAATGCTGATATGAGACGGAGGCCTCTACTCCTTACCTTCAATTCGCCAAGCAGTACATGCTGTGCCTGAGAAAGCAGTGAACACCACATTTCAAAGCCGAGGTGAATTACAGACGAAGATGAGCGCCATGGCGTTGGTCTGTTGGCTCTCTGGAAGCTGCCAGAACACAGCCTCGTGGTTGGGACAGTTATTGCAAGTATACTCGGTGGTCCGAGAAAGGGTTGGGTCGTGGATGACGTCACTTCGAATCATCAACGCTTCCCTACATGGACACTGTGAGCGGCGAGGAGTAATACTAATGGTATCACTTATGGTGATAAGACACATCATTCCTGAAAACGACTAAGTCGTCGGCATTGATATTCTCTAACTCATCGTCCTTTGATACGACTCGTTGAACATAGGGACAGGTCCTGAGGAGAAAAGATGTTTCTGAAGGCTTTCACCTCTACCACCGCTACTGCTCCGGAAGATCACAAACTGAAGTGATAGTGTCCGACGATAGTTTATAGGGGAGTTTGCCATGGTCTGGTATGGAATTGTCGAGTGTGGGTTACTACGTACGACCAGCAGCGTCCGATCCTACTACCTGCAAGCGTATTCCAATGCCACTTCCCGCTTGTTCTCTCGAGGGTAGAGGAGATTATTGCACTCTGGGCAGAACTTGAGTTGGGCTGACATATTAAAGGAAGACTGAATGGGACGATACAGTGGGAGGGGGACATCTACTACTACCCCCTATCGTCGACACACAAAATAGAACTACCCTCCGAGGGAGATGCTTAAAAAGGCTAGAAGAGCCTCTTTGATCCTGACCATCCAAAATGAATTCCGAATCGGAATTCAGAACTCGAGCTCATTCACACGAAAATGACAAACAATTTTTACTTCGCTCCGCTGTCTGACACATTTTTTCCTCGTCGTTCTACAAGTTCATGCTGATGGTAATCTGGGTACGTTTTGTCGTTACGCTCCTCAGCAGAGAACGCCAAGATAGGTCTTGCTTGGACAGGAATAGACTTGTAATCTTGAGGAAGTCTGAATGATAACCAGGCTAGAGATCACAAGATTCCTATTGGCAGTTCACAGAGCAGAGTTTACGTGGCTCCGGGTTAGTGATTACCATCTGTCGCTCAAACGAGGGGATACACTTGTATGTCTCCCTCATGGATGCAGTAAGTCGGACATGTGCTGGAGGATAGGTTTGATCGACGCAGGACGGGAAAGGGCCTGATATGTGGTCCAGAAATCAACGACTAATCCTGATGCAGCTCTCATGTTGTGATGCTGTATCGTATTGTGAAGGATGCCAATACCCAGCCTATGCGCGTTGGTGATAATACTGAATCTTATCATACTGCCTCCTCTAGTGGAGGCCGTTGTAGATATCCCTGAGTTGATCACCTTAGACGAGCGAAGTAGTGGTATTAAAACACCATTCGGATGATCTGTATTGTTCACGTAACATCCTAAAAGTCGATATCGCCGCGGACGCCTCTCTGGTGTAGCCTTCCTTCACAAATTCGCCTCCTTTTCTATGAGAAATCTGCTTATGTTCTCAACGTTCTGTTGTCCAGTACAATACCGCCTCTGTGTTCGTCCGACCATCGGCAATATTGTTGGAGTTTAGTGACGTTATACAGCCTTCCTTAGTAATGGTTCGGGCTAGCAGTCCAGGGCGGGCTGAATCCTTAGAGGAGTTGGTCCAGAGACGGCAAGAGGAGGTCCAGGCAGCTATGGAAAAGGCTGAACCCAACAAGAGCTTCTATGCTTACGATACGTTCGATCCCTCAACCATCAAACGCAAACCAATCAACGAGTACGAGGAGTCCTGGGAGAATATTTGATTTCTTCTCGGCCGTCTTAGAGCTCCACCAGTCGGGAGTTCACCGTCTCCAGTAGATGCCCAGGACGATCCTGTGGCTGCCCATAAACGATTGAAGATTGATAACGAGGCGTTCGAGACTCGGGCGAAGGAGGAGTTTGCTGGTGTAGGGGAGGCGGATGGTCTGGGGAGAGGTAGAGAGCATTTCAAAAACGATAATGAATTCATCAAGTAAAGGGCAGCTGTCGCGGAAATCGGCATATCTCTATCTGGGTCGTTAGGTGCTCTATTCTATATCTTCTTGGCGTGTGGGAGCATAAACTCGAGGACCCCAAATGGAAAAGTGAGGAGGGTGTTGTGGGGCGCTTTCCAACGAGGAGTTGTGTTTTATTTCGAGATACAATAGTTGGCAAGCGTAAGACTTATCACGACACAGTGGACAGGATGAGACCGTTGGTGACACTCCTAGAGCACGATGAGAAGCTTGCCCAAGGTAGGGTCAACTGCAGGGTAGTCGGGGGTATGTCACTACGTTGTGCAGGGGAGGAACGGCGGGTTCCTGAGGCTGTCGTGGACGTCCTCAAGGGGGTCTTTAAGGAGATAGTGAAGAGAGAGTAATATCTGCATACGGTGGTTGGGTAGTCTTCTTATGAAGGTATGTCGAGGCTAATAAAC